ATTTGATAGTTTAATTTTTTATTTTAAAATATCATTTAATTATAGTTAATTAGAAATAAATATAATTTTTTTAATTTATTACTACGACTCTATTTTATTTAAAAAAATTAAGTCGACTGAAAATTAAATGAAGGCAGTCTAAGAAATTTATATCCAAGTTACCTTTGTTAGTTAGATGAGTTCCACTTGGCCTTATGATAATTTAGAGTTTCATTGTATTTTTTATGGTGCATATTATTTCTTATTTTGACATTGGCAATCATTTTTTTTTTTTCAATCATTTTCTATTTAGAGAAAAGAAAAACTGAATTCAAACTATGAACCAACCAATGCCTCCCATTAAGGAACAAGTGACAATATTGTCACTGGCTCTGTAAGTTGAGATCGCTCTGTGAATTCCATGTTTTAAATGCTTCCGTAAAATGAAGGCTACAAATACATTGATTGCACGTTGGTTATCTTTTATAAAGCAACTTTTGATCTTTTGGATTTTGATGCTTTGACTTTTGGACTTGCACAGTCGCTCTGGCATACTCCTCTTTTTGGATTTAAAGGTGACTCTCCCCACTCACATGGTTTGTTTCCTGAACCATCACTATTCAACTTTGGGGGAGAAATTTCTAAGGGATTGTTTGCGGATCAAAAGATGCCCAAATTAAAGTGATACCCCGACCCCAATACCCTAATTCATGATTAGGGTTTGTTGGGGCTTACTTTTGCCCTTTCATAATTGATTTAATTATGAGTTCACAAACAAAAAAATATAATTTGTAGTTGCTTGTTATGGTCAAGATTCAAACTTAGGAACTATGAGAATTTTTTTTTTTTAATTTCTTTGTCCTAACATAAAAATATGAAGTCTTTCTTTGATCAGATTAATAGGATGAATATAAATTGATGTAGTGTAAATATCACATGATTGGTGCAATAAAAAAATAAATAAAATGAAAAAAATTAAAGAACTCCCTGACCATTTAGATCCTTCCTTGCAAAGCATACGTCAATTCATGGAAGGAAGCTCTTTTTCGTTGTAAATTGAGAGCCTAGCTTGTTATCTTTATTCTTTCCAGTGTGTGACATGTTATCACTTATATCTTCTTTTTGGTCACTTTTTGTTTGTTTTTCCTCGCTCTAACTTATCCCAGGCAAAGGAGATACACAAATCGCATGCTTTCACCCCACCGAGGCGGCCACGTGGACGGAAGAAGCCAAACGAGCCCTTGATCCTCCCAAGTCCCACAACTCCATGCACCCTTGGCTGACAAATCCCACACTTTTTAGTTGTTTGTCTTTGGTGGTGAGATGATCTATTTCATTATCACTACCATGTTTGGAGGTCATGGAGAGGCACATGCAGACTAAAAGGTCTTCTCTTTCAACAAAAGGCTATACAACACAACCAAAAAGATAAAAAGAAAGGAGATGAAAAGAAGGGGAAAGATGAAAAGCAGAACAAACCACGCTCCCATTGTCTCAGAACATGTATATATAATTGTACTAACTCAACCCCATTTATATTTTATGTGGTTCTGGATCACAGTATAGAAGATATATAAAGAGGAAAAAGAGCAACTTTCCAAGCACAGACGGTGTTCTGTTTAAAACACTAGCTTTTGTTTGCTTGGAAATGACAAACTTTTGCAAAGATAAATTTTCTGGAATTTTATGTGTCTGTCTCCACCTTAATTGGCTGATGTCCATTAATATGTAGTTAAAAATATGTATTCTGCACTTGATGTATATTGCTTGTGTTTCCTGGGTGCGTGAATGACAATACATTACATGAAACTTCAGAGAAATTTCCTGGTTAATTTTTATTGGTAATTTATGCCTGGTTGCTATGCATTTCCATGGAATCATGCATCAATGGATCACTAGGTTGGTTTGGATGTGAGTTGGCAAGTTTGAGGGGGATTTATTTTTGTAATCATTTTACTAGACTTGGTTGGTAGTTGGTAATATGTAACTATTTATCGAATGTATTTTCCATAGGAAATCTTGCCACTCAACACGAAATACCCTTTTATCATTTTCTTATATAAAACCACAAATAGACAAGAATACAACTATCCAAAAGATCCAACAATCCAATCCCTAGCAGTAAACCACCGACAACTTATGTCTGCCTTTCTCAGCCATATTAAGAGATGGAGCATCTTGAAGCAGTGCTAATGAAGAAGATATGTTTGTCTTTGTATAAAGCTGTAGAAGATATTACACCTGTGAAATTATAGGTACCTAAAGGCAGGAGAAGGATATGAGAGCATGAGTGACGTTTTAGCTTCAATGGTTGGTATTTATATATGCTTCCAAGAAAAACATTGGGAGCGCAGGTTAATCAGTGACTGAGAGAGGGCCCTTCAGTTTTGGAAACAAGACAAGTTTGAGAATGTTATGTCCTCTAAAATCTCACTTCTACCCAAATAAAATGTTTCACAACGTCTGACCAGTCAAAAATTTAGATATCTAGCTACGCATAATTAGCAAAAAGAGAAAATAAAAAATTAGGACATATGTAGAACATCTAATTATAGTTATAAAATATATAAAATATTTTATGATTGTAATTAGACATCTTAATATATTTAATATTAAAACTTTTTAATTTTTTATTTTTTCTTAGAAAAAAACAATTTGGTTAATCAGGAATGATTAGTTTCATCTACAATAATCGTATTTGTATTCATGCATATAGGCATTGTCTCGTGAATGAATACCCATATATACTTTCTTAAAAAATCATAGTCTGGCAAATAAGCCGTAGAGTCCTAAATAAATACAGTCGGAGAAAACTTGTAACTTCAATAGTTTTTTTTTTTTTTTTTTTTACTGTAAAAATTTTTATTACTAAAGTACATGGGGTAATCCTAATTTTAATGTTGCTCCTAATTAATATATTGAGATTCTACTAAACAAAGTCTCTAGCATTAGAAAGAAAAAGAAAATAATTGATACAAAATCGGTTCAAAACATTTTTGGATATTTATTTGGTTTTGTTTTTAAAATATAATATAAATATACTCTAATTTGATTGGTTCATACATTATATATATATGATTGCATTTTTAAATTTATTTATTTTTACTTTAGATAAAAAATAATAATTTTTTAATAAATATATTATATAATATATTCAATTGAAATATGTACCGTTTAGAAGAAAAAAAAAATCAGTTTTTAAGTCCTTTTGTAATCTGTCGGCGTTCTTCATTAAATCCAATTGCAAACCAAAAAAATATTCATGAAAAAGGGATAAATTGTTTGCCCTGGCAGAAAAAACCTCTACCCTGTTAATAAGGCCCCACTCCACTAGTATTATAATTATGGGTCCTCATTTAGTGTATAAAAGTTAATCAGAAATATTTTGTGCAGTTTATACTGCATCAAATCATATAAAATCAACCATATTAGTTGGAAGGAGGCCCTTCTTATATAGTTTTGGTTTAATTTAGTACAATTTAAACTACAAATCATTAACTAAAAATTATTTTCCTTCAAAACTGGCAATCTTTTGTTTTGGGCTAGATTGATTTTTTGAACTTTATTAAATACAAATCTCTATTAAGTACAAATTTGAGTACAAAGCATAAAACAAAGGGTAGATGATCATAATTAGGACTCTAAATGAGTTGAACTGCTTGTGAGTTACTTAATTTGAATTCGAATTGGACTCACGAACTCAAATAATAATATTAAGAAAAATTATATATATAAATATTTAAAATTTTATTTTTATTTTAATTTAAATTTTAAATTAAATTTAAATAATCAATCAAGCTTATGAATTGAACTTAAGTTTGCATATTGAAAACTCAATATATTTAAATTGAATAAAAACTTAAATTTAATAAACTCATTACAGTAACTCATTATAGTAATATCAAGTTTAAGTTCGAGTTTAAAGAACTTGACTTCAATTCATTTGCACCCTTAGTCATGGTCAAGAGGATCCAAAACCTCTAGTTTTTTTCCCCCCCCCCCCCTTTTTTTTTTCGGTTGGGATGTCAAGAGAGGATATCAAGAGGGTCCAAAACCTTTTTCCCATGACAATTGGGTCCCTAATCTTCCTAATTCTCAACCATAACGCAAGCTTGATACGTGGCAAAAGCTTTCACCTCCCTTGCGCTCCTTGCTTGGATGGTTTCAACCATATCGTATGTGAAGTGTATGAAAATGACAAAGGAAACTTCTGAAATTACAAGGGACGAATTAGTAACGGAGTGAATTTCTTTGACGATTTGCCCACCGACGATAGCTGCCAACGTCTTTGCCATTTGGCAATTTGATAGCTACCAACGTCTTTGGCATTTGGCAATTTGATGGCTCTTACGTGTCATGCATTTATTGGCTTTTTCTTCTGCCTCGAGTCTTCTAGGAGAAGGACAACCGTAGATGACGATACTCTCTTTTTTGTATGCTTCTACATGTACATACCCCCACTTTGTACCTTTTTATGCTCGCCATCATTTTCCTAATTTTGTATGATCGAGGAAAAAGGCCAGTAAGTGCCGGTGTGTGCAATATCTTCCAGCGCCTAGGAAAAATCTTTCAGGAAATTTCATATCTTTCTTCTCATTACAATACATTTTGACATCAATATTTATCGCACCCAAAACGTTTATCTCAACGAATCACATTAAAAAGATTTACTAGCCGAACATCGATCTCTACATATCTTCCCCACCCCCTATACCTTTTTTTCTCCCTCTTTATCCCTAGTTGCCACCTCTATCCCCCTTGACAATTATATATGTGAAATTCTCTCATTTTTCTCTTTTTTGTAAGAGTATTTTCCTCTTTTGGGATCTCCGTCTCAGCTCTCTTAATGATATTTTAATCTACTTTTCTGCTTGTGGTGGGCTAGAGGAAGATAATGCAAATGTAGAGTTGGTTGGGCTCAAATGGGTTGAAGCGCTTGCTTCAACTGTCAACATCATGGTTGGACGGAGGAATCCCAAACTAATCTTTTTGCGTGGGACTTCTTTTATGCTTCGGATGTACAATCAAGCAATCCTACATCTGTTTGCTCCTTATAGCAACTACTTATGTAATAACCGATAGTTTTATGTAGTTATTTGTCCATATATGTTTTAAGTAAAATCATCTATTACTACTGTTATAAATTTATGTTTGCTTTGTTACACTTATATGACTAATGACTAAATTCATTGGGATTTCTTTGCATGGTATTATTATTTTTTAATTATTAATAAATCTAGATTTACATTTTTATGCCACAAGTTTTACTTTTTATATATAAAAAAATTATAAATAAATAAGAAAGTAATTTTTTTAGGTCGACTTACATGAAAAAAGTGTAAAATTCATAAAATTATTTAAATATCTTTAATAAATCATCTTTTTATATTAATTCATTAAGAAGTCATATAAGAAAAAGAAATTTATATATATATATAGAAATTCAATTAGCATTCATTTATTTGCTTAAATTAATTTTTATCTAAATTTTTTTCTTAAAAAAAAAATCAAATTAAAATTTCTACTAAAGTACTAGATTAGTTAAGGAAGATAGCACTATTTTTCTATAGTTAGAGTTCCCTGGCATTCATTCCAATTAGTAACAGAAGTGAAGATGGGGCCGGTCCCACGGCAGCCAGCTACCAAACAGGAGGTTGCATTTCCAGTGTCGGAGGCCTTTGATTTTTTTCCTTTACATAGATTCTTTTGTCAATTGGAGGGGACGATCCCCTGCACTCTCCTACATCATTTGCGCAACTGATCGCGATGGAAATGACAACTTTTTCGCATTTTTAACAGCTGATACCAGGGATTGCTTTTTGGGGTTGGAGACAGGGGAATATTGAAGTTAGGTTCAGCTGCTCCATTAATCAGGTGTTACTGTATATATACGCTCATGAACTAATGTACGTCGTTCGCTTTGTCCTGCATGCGCATGTGTATTCTTCCACTCTTCAGTTGTCTTAAGTCTTTATTAGAAAAAAATCAGAGACATATGCTATAGTAACTCAACCACTGTTATATTGATCAATGCAGAGATTATCAATGAAAAATTAGTTGAGTTATTACTTGTTAATTCATAAACTTTAATTTAAAACGTTAATGTCTAAAATTTTATATTACCGAGAAATTAATTCTCAATATGTCCCATAAAGAACATTAATTAACTAGAAAATTTGACAAAGGAATTTGCCTATGATATCTTTTTTTATGGGCAAAGAAATTAATTTTATTAAACATGTATGAGGGTGCATCAACTTGATTACATCCTCCATTACAATCTAGGTTATATTCTTAATCAAGGAATTATGATCACAAAAAGAATGCTTAGTACCATTAATCATATGGTTTCATGGTAAAGTTATTTGTGCTCTAAATTACAAATTTAAGATTCAGTCTTCAATCTCTATATGCCTAAAAATAAAATAAAATAAATAAAAAAGAGAGAATATGTGATTATTATCTTGAATTAGTAAAGCCCATATACTAGATGTACAATAAGGGCTTATTTTGTATAAAGGTAATTTTATTGGGAAAGTAATTTGAAAAGTATTTGAAAAGTTATAATTAAAGTACAATACATAAAATTGATAAGTTTTGTAATTAAATTTTTTTAAGATTATTAATTTTTTCATGTTTAATAAAAAATTGATATTTTAAAATTTGAAAAAAATTGTCCAAGTAGTCTCACATTGGAAGAATGAGGGAAAACTTCTTTCCTTTTAAAAATCCATAGAGAGAAAAAATTTGCTTATTGGGAATCAAGTTAAAGAAAGTTAAGGTTGTAAATGCCAACTTTACCATTCTTTTACTATATCATTGAAGTATAAAAATAGAACAATGATACAAATGATGAATAAAGAGAACGGAAATTTTTGGGACCAGTGACATGGCAAGCCATGTTGTTAATATATTAATTTTAAAAAATTTAAATTATGTTTTCCTGTTTATCTTTTACCTCCCTTCTGGTTTTTTTTTTTTTTTTTTAATTTCAAAATCTCCTATCTTTCTCTCTCATCTCCCCATTTTTTGCCAAGCTCCTCCTCCAGTGAACTTTGTTGAACTCAAGCACCAGGTTCAACTCTATCCTAGCAATCAAAATCCCATAGCCATGGTTTTAAAATTTCAAAAAA